GGGAGAAGGAAGACTGACTTTCGTGTCTGTATGACACAAGTCACAGCAGCACTTGACCTTGTCCAGTGGACAGCACAAGAAAATAAGTGGTTAATTTAAAAAAAAAAACTGACAAGTCACTAGCATGATTAAAAATTTTTAAGAAAATTTAAATATCTCTTCATCCAGAAACAATTATGGAAAAAAAAATCTTTTTTTTTGCTGAAAGCATGAATATGTAAGTTTTTAATAGAGTCTTTTTAAAGACTTCATTCCCTAGCTAAAAAAGTGTCTAGTTTTTGAAAAGCTAAAGCTGTTTTGGCTTTTTTTATTTTTTGGCTCTTAATTACAATTTTTATTGAATAGCAAATATTTTCACTATAAATTTTTGATGTGTATTCATACACAAAAATAACATTCTCTCTGTCTCTCACTCTGTATACACACATGTTGTGTGGGGATGATCCAAAGCTATTTTTATGCATTATACTTTAGACTAACTTTCTCTAGACTGTCCGCGTTAGTGTCCTTCCTTTCATGCCAATTCCTCCCCTTTGAGTAATTTTCTCGAAGGTTTTCTTATTGCTCCCTACAATAGCAGCTGCGTTTTGCTCAGTCCTGTCTTGCTTGCCTGCGGGGTGGGATGCTACTTGTCCCAAAAACTTTGCCCAGGTCACTGTAGCACAAGATCGGCTCCTCTGGAGGGAAAAACACGTTCCCAGAGGAACGATAATTTCATAAAACCGTCCTGCAGCGAGTGCCCAGGTCAGGACAGACTGCGCACACATTCCAGCTCCGAGCAAGATGTAAACAGTGTCATCTGGGTCTTTTCAAGTGTCTCTTTTTCTTTTTTTTTTTCCCCAAGCTGTGCCTCAAATTAGGACGATTAAGAGGGCAGCAAGTCTGGTGGTTAAGGGAGAACTTTAAAGGCGGATTTTCAGCAGTGTACACACATGGCCCTGGCCTGGCAGGGGCAGAGCTATTCCTGCCCCAAATGAGCGAGTGCAAACAGAGGCCATGACAGAGGGCATTCATATGACCTAATTTTGGGTGCCTAATTTAGAAGGTGGATCTTCCTGCACCCCTCCGTAGCTGGTAGAAAGCAATGGGCCTCTTCAGAGGGCAATTCAGAGAACGACCCAGGCTTAGGAGAACTAAGCTGACCTTTTGCGAGAGCTGCTTCCCTCTCCTCCAGCTGCCGCGCAGCAGACTTTTATCACTGACACCTTCGTCACATGCCTGAAGCAGTCATCCTTTCTGTCTCTGCTCTCTCCCCGCTACTTTCTAATTATTGATGCTAATGATGTACTTTCCACTGTGTTGTGGGGGCACCAGCTTTGAACCACGTTCTTCAGATATGTGGCTGGGGAGGTTGCTCTACGCCCCTTAAAAGCATTTATCTCACATTCCCACAAGGTTTGTCTGTATATAGCAAGAAAAGTAGTAGCAATTGTTCAGTCTTCATGAGTGCACTGCGGTTATGTGGCTTGAAATGTTTCAGTTCACTGAAGCAGTGGAAAACACCAGCATCCAAAGCAAAGCCAAGCAAGTTACTGTTGGTTGTGGTTGCAAAGGGTATGACTGGCAATCTGGAGGCTTTGCTACCAATGGATACTGCGTGTGCATGTGTACATGGGTGTGCATGGCCTGCGATTCGCTATCAGGCGATCCTGGCTTCTCTCACGGGGAGGTCTAAGGGGCTCTGTGCTCTGCCTGCAGAGGCCATCACAGCCGAGTCAACAAACACCAACCTGCTCACCAATGGCATTGGCTCCCTCTGCTCCATTTGCGGGGATCGGGCAACTGGCAAACACTATGGAGCGTCCAGCTGTGACGGGTGCAAGGGCTTCTTCAGGAGGAGTGTCCGCAAGAACCATGTCTATTCCTGCAGGTACTGACCCCTGCTACTATAAATACATACAATTTATTGATGTTGCACGTAACTTGGGGTAGAGATAAGGACTTACAATGGGGCCCCCAGATGATGAAGTACTATATTGTGACTGCTAATATAATACTGCAATTTAGTTTCTGACCAGAAGAGAGGGAGATAAGGGCTTCTAGCTCATCTCGGACCCTGACACCTTTTGTGACGCAAAAGCAATCCTTTTCATGAGTTCCTCCTCTATTTTCCTCATGATATAAACCACGGGAAACTTATAGACGCTAATGTTGACTGATGTGCGTAAAGCATCGTATAATTTCTGGGTGTGGAGTGACACTGCGACCACATCACAGTCTAGCAAGGGAATACCAAGGTAGTGATAGACCAAAGATCCAGAGATTTCTTTCAAATGAGACCTTTCCCGCTTTTCCTGGTAATACCTGACATGAAAGCAACAAGCCTCCGAGAACCTGTCACCTCTGAAGTCTCCATCTCCCCGACCACTTCTCCATTCTTGCTGTCTAACATATTCAAAAACATACACTGACATATCACTAACTACTTTACAATCACCCTGAGAATCTACCATGGACCAGCAATGATTCATTTCTGCATATACATGGGCATAAATTTGAGTGATTTTTTTGCCAGGAGGAGGCTATAAATTATACAGCAGTTATCTTGGTTGACCTTAGAAAAACGATGTTTATTTTAAAGCAAGAGAAAAAAAAAAATCAGAGTGGAAGCCCTTCATCTCTAATTAAAACCTGGAAGTTTTCTTTCTGTTCCAAAGTTCTTCCTCCTTTAAGGGCGTTCCAAATTTTTGCACCACAAGTCACCCTGTTTGTTCAAAATGCTCCTGGAGCACTTATCACTCCAGAACACACCAGCCACGAAAGACCCTGTTTGATTGCACTGCCCGCCCTCATGACGACCATCCCAGGCACTGTATGATCCCAGCAGGAGGAGGAAATAGCTACTACTGATTTTTTTTTTAATTTCCTCCTGGGAGCGCAGTTGTTGCCCCTCCTCAGGAATCTGTTAATCACTGTGTGATATTTGGCAGTTCAGGGAAGGGCTGCAGAGTCAAAGCCAAGCAAATGGCAAATGCTCCTCTGTCTGTGAATCCTTATTTGGTGAGCAGCACTGTTTTTAGCACAACTCGGAGCGCTGTTGTTTATCGCAGACGTTAATTCCTTGGAAAGTCTTAGAGTCTTTGTACCTTTGGCTTTAGACCAGCCTGTGAGACTGCCTCAGCCTTTACAACCTGATGATGGTCCCCGAGCAACCTGCATGGCCTCTTCTCTCCGTGGCAGATTCCTGTTCCATTGCTTTCCCGCTACAGCAAAAGCTGCCAAGTCTATGTAGGCCAGCCCTCGTAGCACATACAGGTTCCCAAATCCACTGTGGAAATGGAGAGGAATCGGGAGGCTATATGCCTCCAGACGAAGCTGAATGAGCTAGATCCACAAAAGGGCTTGTGGGCCACAGTGCAATTATTCCACACAAAGTAGGATGATATTAACAAAGGCAAAATGAGTCCCAGCTCAGAATACCCAACAGCTGCCTGAAAGGCGGAGACGGAGTCCATATACTGCCAGGCACCAGAACAATTTGAGTCAAAGTCATGCTTTCACAGCCAAAAGCCTCACACTCCTCGCAGGGTGGGTGGTCTCAGTTGTGCGTCCAGCTGGTAGTAGCCCAGTGGTGCTGGAGGTGAGGAATCAGGCCAAGCCAACATCTGATACAATCTCTCTCTGACAACCCCTTTGGCTCTTCCCTGGGTTCACACAGTGCATAGCACAATGAAGACTGGAACTGTATTTAGGCTGCCCAGGGTTACCAGGGTGCAGGCAGGGCTGGTTCCTCCATGTTTCTCCAATCTCCTCCCAGGTTCAGCCGACAGTGTGTGATAGACAAAGACAAGAGGAACCAGTGCCGATACTGCAGGCTGAAGAAATGCTTCAGGGCCGGCATGAAGAAAGAAGGTAGGTGCAATGGGACCTTGGGGCCCGGTGTGGAATAAACTGCCTGCTGCCTCTGACTGACTCCCACTGTGGTAGAGGATGGTGGAGAGCAATGACAGCCCTGACACTGGGACACCATGCCCATGGGTCACAATGAGAGATTGCTTGTTGTCACAAGAAAACCTCGTTTCCCATCTCAGCAGATGGGAATTTCAGCTGAAGCCCTGAGCCAATATTTGCTCAGACTAAATTATCTTGGGGAGGCTGGTCTCTTCAGGATATTTTTATACTGGGAAAGGGATGGGCTTCTTCAGGGAACACTTCAGCGCATCCAAAGCCAGATTCTAGCTCTGAATTGCCCTTTGAAGGCATTTCTCAATGAGATGAATCTATAGCTTATCTTCGCCAGGCCAAAGTTACTCCTGGTACACTTATTCTTTTAGTGTCTTTTCTTAAACAGACATTTAGACCTTTTGTTTCTCTGTCATTGGTTTGCTGAAAGGGGTCACACAGGACATCTTTTGCGCCCCATGAAGTGGGAAGGAAGCCGAGAAGCTGTGCAGCATAGGGTACGCGTGTGGCTCCTGGACAGGGTAGTGGAGTCACTGCCTGGCCTTGACAACTCACTTCCACTCTCAGGTGTAGTTTTGTTTATTTAGCCTGTAAGTGCTTCACAACAGAAATTTCCTTGCTACGTACCTGATAGGGCAACACCTAATCTCAGCTGCAACAATCTCAGCTAGGACCTGCCCTCATAAATCTCATAAACACTAACAGTTGACTATTGCAGCGTTGTGTTTGATAATTGCCTTGGCTGATGCTCCTGTAACTTGCTGCAAACCCTCGAGTGAGATACAGGAAAAACGTGATGCCCTGTGGATCGGGACCTGTTCCTCTGTGGCGTAGGGCAGGTGGGCAGCGCTCCCAAAGGCAACCAGTTTCTGCGTTCATCCAAGCTATGTCCTGCTGAGCCCAGACCTGGGTCAGAGTCAAGGCCTTGAGCATTACTATCGTCGTGGTGGCAGCATGATTATAGAGTGACTATTAGTGCCAGTACCGGCAGGTCAATCAAGTATTAGCTGGCTCTTTTTGTGTTTCACACCAGTTGTATGTTAAGGGATAGGCAGACCACGATGGGACACCTGGGCACCTAGGAAATACTTGATGTTACTGCACCTAATGCTAGGCGAGAACCAAACGCATTCATTAACATATGCCTTAACTTCCTAGAGCCACTTCTCCTGGGAAAGTTGGGTGTCTCTTACAGCATTTCCAGTCGCTGATCATTTAGTGTTTGCATAGTGGGAGAACATTAATGATACTATTTTGTTTATTGCAAGCTTTCTGGGCAGAGATGCATTTTGTACTCCAAATCTGTACAGTACCTAGTAAATTGGGGGCCCAGTCCATGATGGACGGGACATCCTCTTGAAGTGCAGGTAGTGGGGTGACGGTAATAACACTCTTTGCACCTCATTTATGCTAGTTTCCAATCCCCTGACATCCCTGAGGTTGAGGGAGCTAGAAAGGAACTTAAAAGTAAATATCCATGCCACAGGATTAAACACCCCTCACCATAAGGGTGAAATCATGGTTCCACTGGAGTCATGGGGAAAATTTGTCACCAATTTCTGGTAATTCATAAGATTTCACCGATGATGAAAAGAATTTCTTTCCAAACTTCTGACCATACCTTTTCCTGGAGAACAGGGATATCTTACAATCTGGCATAGGTCACGCAGGCAGTAAAAAAGGTCTGCTGGTTTAGTTTAGAAGAAATAAGTAAACACAGCAGCTGGAAAAAAAAAAAAGTAGCCTTTAAAATAATAAAGAGCAAATCAAAGCTGAATGTCAAGATCTAGCCAATTCGACTTGCGGATGAAGTCAGTCATTGATGTAACAAGCTCCACAGCTTGGAAACATTGAAATCTGGTTATCAGCTCCATTCTTTGAGTTGAAGCATGATTATTTTTATTGGTTTTATAGTAAAAGTTATAAAACCTTGTCTCATTCATTCATTATTGATTGCAGCTCCCTAGAAGATGACTCATTTCAAGTTCCACATAGTCACATTCTTTGAAACTTTTTTATGAGTGCACAGTCAGGTTGTGTGCTAGCAAACTGCTAATGCGTTTGGTAAGATAGATTTTTAAAGCACCTTGAGCAATTGCTTTACAGAACTGAGCTGTGTGCACAGCCTGTGTGCAGAACTGTGAAAGAAATTTTCTTGCACAACTGTGTGCACAAAAAGAACACAGCTATTTGCTTTCGGGTGGTCCTAGATTAATATTAAACAGTATTGCGAAGCATTTAGGAAAATGAGAAACGGTGTCCTGGGATAGAGCATTATGAGGCTCATACAAAGGTTTGGGCATTATTTGCTGGCAGCATGCACCGATTTAGGTCAGGGACCAAAGCCGTGATGCACACGCTTGGTTGTGTCCAGCCGTGCCAGCACCAGCACGCAGTGGTTTGACTCGCTCTGCCTTTGGCACACCATTTTTCAGCCAGCCCATATAAAAGCAATCAGACTTTCCAGGGTGTGGTAATAACGCTATTTACTCACAGAAGAGGGGAAGAAACTGGAAATGATCGTTATTGCGGCTGGCGTCTGCTGATACACCTGGGGTGGGACTGGCCAGGATCCCGTCTGCCCCACAGCGGAACCTGCTGCAGCCACCGCCGCCCTCTGCCAGAGGGGCTTCGCATGCAATATTGGAAAATCCTCTGGTCCCCAAATGTTCTCCTTCTGGCAAAACTAGCTGATCAGCTGGAATTTTGGAACCAGAGGATTTTTTTTTTTCCCCCTAATCCTTCTGTGTTGTAAGATATGATGTGACACATTTGGATCTTTCTTTCTCCTCCCTTTTTTTTTTTTTTTTGCCCGTTGGAAGCAGCTCTAACGTATAAGAGATTCTGAGAGGTGATGCATTATCTAGCCTTGTAGAATGGAAATTTTTGCCCTAAAGTAAAAGCTGTATAATGCGAATACTTGAGCTAGCTGTAGACTGGCTGTTCCTAGGGGAAGTGGTTTAGCAGCAGGGCCATGGGTCTCGGCGCAGGCTAAGCCGGTGGGTGCTGGGCAGCTGGGCTGCGGGTCATGGGGTCTGGGCAGAGGTTGTCGTGGGAGTTATCGTCAGCTTCCTTTAGGTTTCCTTGTTTGCACAGTCAGGACTTTAATCCTGCTTTCCAAAGGGACCAAAGACTGTCCCACATGGGAGCTGGGCGCCTCCAGAGAGGCTATTTGGTGGAGGAACGTCCGAAATGCACAGCCACGGCTTGGTGCATCACGAAGGGATCCAGGTCCTGCCGGCGCCAGTGAGAGCAAGGAAGGGCCAAAACTTGAGTCTGGTGGAAAATCCAGTCTCCAGGTTTCTTAGAAATTAGCTCACTTCAGAAATACTTCTATCCCAATTACAGTTTTTTTATTAATTCCCTTTAGGAACTACAAGTAAACAGTTATTACAGTGGGGATGAGCGGGAGGTAAAGGCTCGCTTTGCTGCTTTCTTGTCTCCTGAAGTGCTGCTATAATCAGGATTAAAGGTTTTGGTCACTACAGTATTAGTGGAGGAGGAGAACAACAGACATTTAAACACCCAAAGAAAACAGTAGGATGCTATTTTTAGCAACTTACTGAGATCATGTTTAACCTTGAATAAATTAGCAGGGCGTGATTTCTCAAATGAGCCAGGTCATCAGATCCCATTGAGTCAAGCATCTAATAACCTTGGGGTCTTTTGAAATGCCCAGCATTACACTGTCAGTTTGCTAGTGAAGAAAGAAGGGTTAATATTTAACCTCTCATCCCCTTTAGAGTAATTTATGAATGTTCATGAGTGCCTTTAGTTTTATGCAGAAGTAAAAAGAATTATTGTATCACCTACTGCCACATCACAGTAGGAGGATTTGAGGCCAGCTTTATTTATTTTTGTTAAATTGGACAGGTTTATAGGACTGTTTTGTCAGTGTTTCACAGGACCTCTGTCTGTGTCCTACCTCTGGTTTTTCACATCTCTTCTGTCAGCTTTTGAAAGTCCACGATCCCAGATCATTGCAAAGACAGATGGGAAAGTTAAAGGAGCTTTGCTACTTTGATATAATCATAAATCAGATGATGGCACATGAAAAGATTAAGTGTATATATACCACTGGGGTTTATTTCCAAATATCATATATCACACGTACAAAATCAGAGACAGCTTGGGGAAAAAAAAAAGATTTGTGTATATAAATTAATCAGAACCATCTACTCAGCCCATGCAGCAGAAAGGGCGACCACCAGCTCGTTTATTAATATGATTCCAAACCCATCAGCATTAAATGAGGATGTTTATTAGCATGGAGTCATTAACTCCTGTGCAGCCAGGGGCCAAGGAGGATTTTAAACTCTGTAGTTACTGTGGAAATTTACTGGTTTGCTGCAGTCCGCTACAAATCAATGCCTGCACCCTTATTTATTGGCTTCCCCAGAGGCTCCTTGTCACATGTGCTGTGCCTGTGTGGCAAGGTGGCAAGGACAAAATGTTTGGGAAACATGGGTTTGTTGCAATTCCACAAACACACCGCTGTTTGCTCAAGAGCCCCTGCGTGTGCTTTGCCAGCCTCTCGGCGCGTTTAACATGTGCCCCAAGGCAGCAAGGCCCAGGCTCGCTCCAAATATGAAAACTCAACCACTGGCTCATCTACGTCAGATGGAGAATATGTTTACTTTTGCGTTTGCTTCCCACAGTCGGGACATGCTGTAGCTGTAATGAATTCCCTACTGCTCCCTAGGGACGTGGTCGGACCCCGGGGCTCGGTCCTGCCGTCTCTACCCCCTTTCCTCTGGGAAAAGCCCTAGTGGTGCCCTCGCTTTCTTCAGCCGGCAGCTTTGCCATGAGCTGCTCCGCTGACATCTCCTTCTGCAGCAGCCTTTTCCAAGCCGGATAACGCCCTGCACAGCTCGAGGCTCTCCAGCTCAGACCTTGCAACTGGCACTGATTGGAAAATACCGCAAGACAACACTGGGAATTGAGTCCTTCCCACAGGTTTGCCTAATTCCCGTGACTGCAGAACATCGGCCATGATCACGTTTGAACCTCTATGCCCTCCAGCAGTCCCAATGCCTTGCCACAAATGGCCTATCCCTTATTTTTTTACAAGCACAATAAATATAGCAATATAATTACCACATAGTAATAGATTAATTTTGTGGCAGGTAAAACATTAACTCCCTTTTGTATGTTATTCCATAGCGTCTTGGGTACTTTTAGTGATAACGCCAAAATCACCTTGAGAAAGTCGGCCTGTACCATCCACTTGCACTTGAAGATTGACCTTATCAGCACATGAGAGAAGCACTGAAATATGTGCCATAAAAGGAACTCGGGAGGAAAAGGGAACGAGGCCTCTTACAGGAATCTGGGCATCGGGGACTAGGAATAGGTCTGCCAAGTTTTGCTGGTCCTATGTAAAATAAGATGTATAGCTTGGTTAGAGAGCCAAAACTTTTATCTTCTCGTTTCTTGTAAGTGGGTAAAGACAGTCTATTCACCAACACAGAGCTACTGGGGGGAACATCCCGTTACGAAACCAGGCGTAAAACTTGGCTTGGGACTTTCCAAGAAAGGCAGCGATAGCATGAATTCAGGCAGGCTTGTTGCTATTGAGCACTGGACACTGCTGCTGGTTTTTCTGATGTTTTAAAAACGCTAAGTCTGCGAAGGTTTAGTATATTCTGAAGAATAATAATACGGTATGTTTTATTTCCTATAACCAGCTTCACCTTCGGACGGGTGGGTGTCCCTGGCCGAACAGTCTCTTCCGCTTCCCCTCTGTGCACAGAGTAACGTAGGCTGTTAAGCTAGGCGCAGCAGAGCCTCACAGGCCCTGTCATTGTTTCTCCTTAAACCAACGCCTAATAGCATTGCTGACATGAAATATGGTCTGCTAGCTTCTGCAGGTGGAAAAGTAAGGCCGCAGTGTTGCAGGCTTGCTTTTGTTCGTGCAGTTTTGCAGAGGAACCAGGCTCTAAGCGGTTTCCCTTCAACTGCTTTTCACACGACCAGTGCTGTATAAATGATTTACGCTGCAATTTCATCGGGGGAAAATTTTCTCAGGGGTTCTGGGTTTGCTCACTCTACGGTGTAAGAGAGTCCTGGTCCTGGAATGAAGTTACTGAAGGCAAAAACAGGGGAAAGCCATGCTTTGGACGGTTTGTTTTCCCCTGATTTATATCTATATAATATCTGTAGCCTGATGGGGCTCTTATGCTGCATATGGGAGTGCTACATCTTTTAAAACAGATCCAGTTCCTTGCAGTCATCATACAGCACTGCTAGGTAGGAGGTGCAAAATCATAAATGGCTCTGATGGGACCACCGTTTCCCTCAACCTGAGCACCTACCAAGCCATGACACCATGCCCAGTACAGGACTGAGCCGGCCAGGATTTAACAGCAAGGCTACACCCCAAATCTTGAAAATAAATACTCTGCTTCTGTCAATAACAGGATATTGATTTTGTCACTAGCTGCTTGTTTTCTGCCCTTTCACTTTGTTGGCCTCTCATCAGAGGCAGGTTAGGAAAACAGATAAGTCGTTTGATCTGAGCTCACAAAAAAATCTGGCTTCCCACCCTCTATGAGAAACGATGCCTGTCCTTCAACAGGAACCCACTCTCGTGCAGCAAGGGGAAATCACTCGGCGTTGCTGTTCACATGATGAAGACAGTCCAGCAACCCCAAGAGCAGTGGTCCCCTGTAGTATCAGCACTGTGATCTTTCATAAAGGCTCACCGGGAAGAAGGGACCGGGGAGACACTGGCTTTATCAGTGTAATACTCTACTTACCATGAATTCAGTCACAGAAATATGCCCTGTTCAAAGATAGATGTCTGCTCTGAAGCAAGGCATGTCAGTGTTAGGAAAAGTCTCTAAACAGAGATGGCTAAATAGTTCAGATTTTGCTGAATCTGCAAGAATAATCCTTGCTGGACTCCTGGTGGCTGCCTGGGAAGGGCAGCCAGGGGACAGCACTGCACCAGGCTGAGACGGAAGCTGGCTCTGCAGCTGCACGCAGCTCTGCTGGCCTGCAGATCTGGTGACAAACTGTCCACTTTTGTGACAAAACCACTCTCTGTGGTATCCAAGGAGTTAAAGCACAGAGCAAGTGGCACTTTGACAGCTAAGTCTGAGTCATCCCTCTAAATAAAATCAAAAGGAGTCTGGAATTATACAGAGAAGTAGGGATGTACTATACTATCCCCACATGCTAAATCTTTCTGCTCCCTCAGCGTTAAGGAACTGACGACTGAATTTCTAAACTGTATGTAGCCAAGACATACGAGCTGTCAGGAAAACGCTGAGTCTACGTTCAAGTTCCTTCCTTCAGCTTGATCTGGGGTTGTTCTCTGCTGGGCTCAGGTCTCAGCAAGACAACAGGGCTCAGGAGAGAGACTAACACTGAAAACAAAGTTGTTCTAAAACTAAATCCTGCTTTTCAGTTTGCCGCTCTTTTGCTTGATTGCAGCAGTGGAGCCTATTCTGCTCTCAGAGTCTGCTTTGCAAAAATAATCTGCTGGAGTGCAATAGACCTGTTATGTCTGACACGCAGGGGCCACTGAGCATGGGGCTAGATATGGTTTGTGCTTTGGGGAAAAGGATGGTGAAAGGGGTGGAACGGACCTCAAAAAATCAGTTTTTTTTTCTGATTCATCATGACATGACCACTCCACCTCTGAAATGGTTGCAAAAACCCCATGGCTAATCTTCCCTGAGCAGTGGTCTCATTTGTACATTTGTGGATTCATGGCAGACCTCAGGCCTACCGAGATCTTCCTAATTTCATGCTGCCAAATGGAGATTTCATTCTAGTCATCTATGTGTCAGGTAAAAGCTCAGTTCAGTTGTGATACCCTGTTTTCTGAACGAGGAAGCTTTTGCTGACGTCTTAGCAGGTCTCTGAATGTTTGACAACTTCTGTTCTGTGAATGATTTTCCTTGATTAAGTGAATTTATAGTGTGTTCAAAGGTGCATTATATCACTGTTCCTAAACAGGACACTTTGAAACAGATCTGCAGTAATGATTTCCGTAGGCTTCCAACAGACCTTGAAATAAATCCCTGCAAAGTTTATTTCCTTAATTATGTATGGGCACCATCTTCTGAGTTACGGGCTCATTGATTAGGAGCGATCTCAGAAATCAGCAGCCTGATGAATAAGGCTGAAGGAAAGGTTTGAAGGAGGTAGTGAATTTAAGCCTCCTTTTGAGTTTCTTCAAGGAAATGACTCTTCGTGCTCCCTCTCAGTGGTAGTGATGTCCCCCCAGGAAATGCTATTTAGCGTGCCTCAGCAACGCCTTGAGGCTGCTTCGAGGTGGAATCAGAGCATGGCTTTTCCATTGCTGCCACAACAGGACATGAGTCCTACAGAGCAGATAGTCTCCCATACCTGGAGGTCAGGGAAGGGGTCCTCTCAATGCAGAGATGACAAAAAGGGAGGAGAGGACATCACTCCCACAGTGCTGTGTGCCTTTGCAGCCTCAGTAAGAGGTCAACACTTACATGACCAAACTCCCTACGAGCTGCTGCATCAAACCTCCCTGGAATCACCTAACCTCCCGCAGAGGGCACCTTGCCCAAGGCAAATTGCATTACCTCCCTGCTTTGCTCCTGTGCTTGGCCTTCTCATTCCCGTTTTCCTATCCCTGGGACCCATTTACTCTCATTCCAGTGTCAAGCAAGGGTGGAAGGTCTTGCAGGTATTAAAGCACCATCCGCCGTTGTTTGGGGACCTCTGCAGAGAACGTGGAACTGTAGGTGATATATCCCTTGAGTTTTGAAATGGTTGCCAATTTTCAGTTAACCATTTCAGAGGTGGAGTGCTGAAAACACATCCTTATGGACTTAGGAAATGCCTAGCTAATTGCCAGGTTCTCTCTGATAGCAAATGGTAACTAACAGCAGCTACTAATTATATGGGGAATTTGCAGCTAATGCAGCTGCTGCTGTCTCTCATTTCAGCTGTGCAGAATGAACGTGACAGGATCAGCATTCGCAGAAGCAGCTATGAGGACAACGGCTCGCTGTCAATTAACGTACTCACTCAGGCTGAAGCCATGGCACAGCAGGTATGAAATGCTTGAACAATCTTCTGAAAGAGTATAGAGCCTTCAGCTATTCCATGGGGGATCAGGAACTCACTATACCAACCAGGGCTGGACCTCTTCTGCCCTTGGATGGTCTGGCACAAAACCTGGCACTGGAAAGAAAATACATTAAAGATATCCAAAAGCAGACAGTAAAAATCCTTGGTTCATTATCAAGACAACTTGTCCTGCAAGGCGTAGATGCAGCCTTTGGCATGTGAGATGCGAAACTGAAGTTCTAAGAACTCAGGGATGTTAAAGACCCCAGCTCCCTTCCGCACCAAGTCTCGGCATTTCATGCACAAGTTTTGTTCCTCATTGCTATACAATATAATCTGCCCCAAACATAACATTGCCCTCATAGTCAGTTATATCCTTGTAATTTCATTACCAGGGCAACAATTTTAGTTGGGGCAGGGGGGAAAGCTAATAAAATTGCTAGGCTTAAACTAACGCTGATTCCTTTCTTATTTCATGTTCACAAATATTACCCTGCAAGTCCTTTAAATTCCTGTGCAAATACACTCTTT